GAAATTAACTCGTTTCATTTGCGATCCTCTTCGATCAATTTATATCATCGAAGTCTCTATTTTAATATTCGGAGTTGCTGAAGAAAATTCTAAAAATTCGTTACATCATTACGTCTTCTATAATCCCATTATAGAAACTAATTATAGAAATTGTAGAAGCTAAACTCTTGTCCTAGGGGCAAGATTCACTGTCTTTTCTCGTTACCTTATTGTTATTATTTTTTGAATAATAAATATTCAGAGATGTTAAATCTCGAATAATAATAATAATACTACAATCGGATAAACAAACTTCAAACTATGTTTACATGATGCGATGAATTATTGTTTCGTCCTTAATGGCTAAGAAATCAAACTACGCGAATGAAATGAAATTCAATTAAATGCGAACGTATAATTAGCCAGAGGAAGGTCAAATCAAAAATGAAACGTCACGTTGTCTCTACGGATTAATGGATTAATTTCTGGCTCAATTTCTCCGCAATGGAACAACAATGGAAGACAGTTGAGTGAACAATCTCAACGAGGTGAATCAATACACGCTCGTAGACAACGAAACAGCAATTTTCTGCTAATGACGGGGACCAACGAGGAGCGACTTGAGCAGGTTCGATAAAACCGAAGCAAACACCATGAAATTGATTATATAGTTGCATCTAACATGGTTAGAATGGCTTCTTCGGAACGTATTGTTGACGTTGACTACTGCCGTTACTCGGCGCCTGGCACGTTGCCACTTTGTGCGAGCCATCGCGATCTCAGGGAGAATGGTAATCGCCCGCTCGTAAGTATTTCTACACCATGTTCCACTGTGTGTAACGCGTGTACACACGCACCGATAAATCTTCCCCATTAGTAACCAACGCCATATATCACTTGCTTACTGCCTTCTATTTCAAAACAACATCTGAATTATTCTCCTTTTTCTTTTTTTTTTCTTGTTTTTTTTTTTTACGAAAAGAACGAATTTTGGAAAGAAAATGCGGAAGTGTCATGTCTGTACTTTTAAATGTCAATGGTTTCGGTACGGTTAAAAGTGAAAAGGAAATCGTGGTCTCGTGGAATTTACAAATTCGAAATTCTAAATTCTAAATTTTTCGAATCGAAGATTAAACAAGTGCAAATTGTGTATAGAATTAAAACAATTCCTTGGTCTCGAAATCGTCAATTCGAATGAATTTTACAAATAAAACGTAAGCCCTGTATAAGTCAACGCCTCTTAACCTCTTGCGCTGGAACGACGTGCCACGCAAGAGAATATTTTCCCCCAAAATTGCATTATTTTCTCAGCATTTAAGTATATTTAAGTATAATCCAGGTAAAACAAACAATTTATTACTTCGCAGTAATTTCGATCCAGTGATCTATCATATTTAATTTATTACTTCGCAATAATTTCTATCCAGTGATCTATCATATTCGTATTCTCAGTATTTAAGTATATTTAAGTATAACCCAGGCAAAACAAACAATTTATTACTTCGCAATAATTTCTATCCAGCGATATCTATCATACCGACGAGTTCAGAAATAAAGCGACGAATTGATTGTATATAACGGTTCGGTCACTCGTTATGGTCCGCAATCGGTTGCCAGCGCAAGTGATTAAAGAAATCGAAGAATTTCTACGTTCAATGCTAAAAATAAATGCAGCAAATTTTCCAGAACTCGAAGGAAATCCTCGACTCATCGCAATTCTTCATAATCGTGTCGCGCCGTGCTCGACAATAAAATGAATGAAAAAAATTTTAAAAAAAATCAATCGAGCGTAAAAATTTCAGGTCAAAAAAAAAAAGAAAAAAAATAAAAGGAAAGAGACGCGTATTACACACTTGTCAATCATAGTCATACCTTCTCGCGTCTACCTGAAAATTTCGTTTAAAATGCCATTCCTTAATCGCAGGAAGATATATATACATATGTATAATACATAGTCACGGGTATAAAGTTGGAATGTAGAAAGCGGCGATAGGGGAGGAGTCCAGTTTTAATAGCCGAGGACGGCTACAGAAAATCCTCGCAGTCGATGTTCCTTCGAGATAAGCACGTAGTCCGGTAGCCCGGTTTTACCGGGCCAGTATTTATTGGTTATTGGTGTGGACCGTCATTAGCGAAACGGGGGTCCCACCGCTCCGAGCAGATACGAAGATATCGCACGAGGCGGCACTCTCTGTTTCCTTCTCTCCCTTTTTGTCTCTCTCTTTCTTTCTCTCTCTCTCTCTCTCTCTCTCTCGTGCACTCACTGTGAGAGAACCCTTCGATCCGTAATTTCCACCGGTTCAACTCCCTGCTGTTCGCCGATCGAACGCGTTGCACGCTTGTTGACAAATTCCTGCGGTTCTGAACGAATGGGCCAACAGACTTATCCACCGTTGAAATCGTCGGGATTGTTTTCGAAACGAAAGGAAAGAACGGGGACGACTGCCACGCGATCGAAGGATATTCGAATTGGAAACGATCGAGTAAAGATCCGGAATACTAAAGATGGCCCTTCTTTACTTGTTTCCGCAAGTTTTAATCTTTTTTTTTTTTTTTTTTTTTTCTATTTCACGCCGATCTCTCTGACAGAGATTGTAGAATCGTACCGGTCACTGTTAATTTTGCCAACGTCCATTCATGTTCCGGTAACTAATTACGCGAAACTGAAGAAATATATAATATATAAATATATAAAAGCACAAATGTATTTGTATATTTTCCAGTCTAGACCAGAGGGATTTAGTTTCGCAAAAGTTTATAGAAACAAACAAAATCGTTTGAACGCAGGAACTTAAATATAAACCTTCTACGCAAAATACAAGTTATTGCCACTGGCAGTAAACAGCGATGAAAGACAACTCAGAAGTATACTTTACGCGTCATCTTCTTACTTCGCTCGTACAATCAAGCGCACGAAATGTCGAAAATATCATTCACCCCTTGCGCTGGCAACTGGTTTGCGGACCATAACGAGCGACCAAACCGCACACAAATAATTCGAACGCTTTCTATTCGAACTCTATTCGATTATTATACGATATCACTGGATAGAAATTATTAAGAAGTAACAAATTTATCAATTGTTTCGCCTGGGGTTACATTTAAATACACATGAAACTGAGAAAACGTTGCAAATGTTTGGGACAGAAAATGTTGTCGACGTGCGTGGCGACGCACGTGATTTTCAGAGCAAGAGGTTAAACAGCAATGAAGAGACAATTGGGAACGGCAGAGGGCTGGCCGTGGTGATAGAAGCAAAAGCAACAGACACCGAATGGTCCGTGGTGGCGACGACGAGTTGCCGGGTTATATTGCGAAGCTACTCGTCTTGAAGTGGACTGCCGTTGTACGCTCGTTTAGCGCTACCCTCGGGGCAAAACCGCAGCCGCCATCGTGCACCCGCGGATGGAAATGCTAATTTGACCGAGGCGAGGGCCTTCTACGCACGCCCTCCCCCTTTCGCCGCGAGCGTGCTCGCTTCTTTTGCTCTTAAATCGTCTTTCTCTCGATTCCTCGCAGCGAGACGTACCGTTCCAGCTCTTCTCGGCCCAGTCGCATATATATATATACATATATATATGTGTGTGTGTATGTAAAAATACACTCTATGCGTGTATAATCCACACGTTTCGTAGCTCGCTCGTTGCGTAACATAAATTCAGAAATTACCGTGATATCCCAAGGTTTCGTGTGGTGGTACGAAAGAAAGGAGTCAGAGTCCTCTCCTCCTTTTCCCTCTTCGTCTTCTTTCAGAAACGATCGACATCGACGTTACCGATGTATCTGCGTACATGTGTCTTTCTCCCTTTTTTTTTTTTTTTTCCTTTTAAATTTTATTTCCTTCGAAGGAGAGAATCGTTGGAGATTATTTAGGCACGTTGAATGGGAATTAACGATTATCGTCCGGCCGGAGGACCCATTGCTTCGTAAATTTCTTCGTATGTAACGCGGAAATTAAATGTTCTTGTTTGCACTCGGTAGTTTAGGGGACATTCGGTTTTGCATTTTTGCGAACGGCCCCTGGTGATTGATGAGGCCGATGGTATTTTACTTGAACGATGATGGTGAATTTTTTTGATTCTGTTTCTTCTTTCTTTTTTCTTTTTTTTTTTTTTGCAGCGACGAGCGAATATGCGAGAATATGTTTTGTTGATAAAGAAGTAACGTAAGCATATTTCAACCTGTCAGATAGTAGTAATACTATAATAGTAATTTTATCAAAGAACACGAATTAATAATTAGACGTAAGAGTCACAATATTTCTAAGTAGAATCTCATCAAATCTACTTGTTAAAAGCCATGACAATTGTGCATTTTATTACTGTATTTTAATGATTTTATCAACATCTGAAGTACTTTCTATTAAAAAATATCATTCATTTCGTAAAATTCAAAGAATAACAACTCATACAGAAAGAAAAGAATATCACATAACTGGAGAGCCAAATTATGTAACAGTGTTACTACAATGCTAGTATTATCCGACAATAATAACTTGCGATTAAATCACTCGATTTAATTTGATTACCAATCTCTATAAATGAAATGAAATTGAAAATAAAATTTTATTAGTGTAACATTGCTGACTGAATTTATCAATTAAATAAAACAGACTTTTCCTCGCGTATCGAGGAACCTGTCTCATTTGCACATGCTTGCACAATAATGCTGGAACGTATCAGATTTAGTCGACTGCACATCCAATACACGTCTGAATCATCTAAACTTGTGAATTCCTGAAGTATGCATTATACAACAGACCTCGGTCAAGCTTCAATCACGTTCATCATATAATTCGCGATTCCTATCCTTGCACTCTGTTACGATGCAATAATACGTTTAACCAATTAATTCTGAAAAATTATCCTCAAAGTAAGAAACAATGACCTCGACATATGATTGTTTTATCTTGAGAATCTTATTTCCAGAAATTATTTTAATAGAAATAATTTAATTAGTTTACCAGGAAATACTTTTGACGATATTTTGACGATTATAATTGTGAAAAGTCTGGTACTTACGTATGTATGAGAATTCCGCCAGTTTTTCGGCGCGTATTTGGTTAATTTATTCTCGTGATCGACGAACAGATACTCGCCGTCTGAAACATTGAAAAATAATGATTAATGGGCCATCCTCGTGCATCAGTCATGTGCTCCCGATTTGTTGAAAATGATATTTTCAAATTACTTTTGAAATATTTGAACCATTTCAAAGAATTTTTGTTGGACGAAAAATTCATATTGTACCTGCGTGTAGATGTACCAACACTTCTCGATACTTACGTATCAATCATACAAAAATTTACCTTTGTTAATGAATCAATCTCAAGATTTACTTCACCGTAAATTCAGTTTACTACAAAAAACATACGTACTTGACAATTAAGAAAAATTACTGGAATAAATTTTCTCGAAAACGAAGCTGCGGATAAAAAAAAAAAAAAGAGGAAAGTTCGTTATTTAAGACTTCTTTTCAACCTTCCTCTACAAATACAACAAAGCGAAATCCTTTGAAAATTATCGGCAAACGGTTGTCAAAGTTTCTGAAAACTTTTGGCGGCTACCAACAGGGCAGTTGACAAATTAATTTTATCGGTAGCGATCGGTGTTCGTTTATTATAATACGCGGAGCAAATACGCGGCTGGCCGGTGGGGAAGCAGGCTAGCGGGCCCGCGACATTCGTGGACTTGGATCGGGCCAAATGGGCCCGTACAAGGGCCGCACATACGCGTCCACGGTGCCCCGATATGGTCGTTGGCGTGGAGCCCGGAGACCCATTCTCCTCGCTCGACTTTTTGCACGGCTGATGGCCCGAAATGCCGATACCCCTAAACGAGCGAAACAATGAAAGAGCTTGTCGGCGAGAAGATGTTCGTGAATGAGAGGGCCCCCAAACCTGTCCTGCCCACATGGGGCCAGACACTCGGCTCGCAGACCCTCATGGCGCGACAACGCGACGCGCTTTCCGAACTGGAACTCGATCTGGACTCGACCTGGACACTCGGGAGGGGACCCCCTTTGCGCGCCACCATCATACGCTAGGCGCTAAGTCGCGTTTACGTTTGTTTATTGCTACCGAACGAAAAAGTATCGCTACAATCCTCGTATTTCCGATATCAAGTCAAATTTCTCAGTCAGAATGACACAGGTCAGTATAAAAGCAGCCTCCAAGCCTTCCTCTATGAATAAAACAAGAAACGGGATCCTTTGAAAATTATCCGCAACGATTGTCAAAGTTTCTGAAAACGTTTCTGCCAACTGGTCACTGTTTTTCCAAAGAAACGAGCATTCTGAAGAGTCAAATACCTTATGTCGCTTTTGAAATTTAAACACTGCAAACGCTAGTTAACAATTTACCCTCCTATCTGTCAAGGAATGTTTGATAGACTGTATCCACATATGGTGGATTTTTAGAGTTCCGAATGATTTTTGGTACTGTCAAATACCTGATCTTACGTCACTTTTGAAATTTAAACGCTGCAAACGCTAGTCTGCAGAATTAACAATTCACCCTCCTATCTGTCAAAGAATATTTGATAGAATGTAATTCAATTGGTGAACTGACTGAGAAAATGAAAAATTGGTAATATATATGGTGGGTTTCTAGAGTCCCGAATGATTTTTGGTACTGTCAAATACCTGATCTTACGTCACTTTTGAAATTTGAACGCTGCAAACGCTAGTCTGCAGAATTAACGATTCACCCTCCTATCTGTCAAAGAATATTTGATAGAATGTAATTCAATTGGTCGACTGACTGAGAAAATGAAAAATTGATAATATATATGGTGGGTTTCTAGAGTTCCGAATGATTTTTGGTACTGTCAAATACCTGATCTTACGTCACTTTTGAAATTTGAACGCTGCAAACGCTAGTCTGCAGAATTAACGATTCACCCTCCTATCTGTCAAAGAATATTTGATAGAATGTAATTCAATTGGTCGACTGACTGAGAAAATGAAAAATTGATAGTTTTATATATATGGTGGATTTTTAGAGTTCCGAATGATTTTTAGTACTGTCAAATACCTGATATTACGTCACTTTTGAAATTTGAACGCTGCAAACGCTAGTCTGCAGAATTAACAATTTACCTTCCTATCTGTCAAAGAATATTTGATAGAATGGTGGACTGACTGAGAAAATGAAAAATTGTTTTATATGTAATAGTAGATTTTTAGAGTTCTGAATAATTCTTAGTATTGTACTTTGAACTTTCCCATATCACTTCGTTTCTCTAATACAAGTTGATAGCTGTAGTTCTAGTCTAGTTCATTGAGAAGTTTTTTGTAAAACGATAAAGTCTAAGGAAAATTGCAGAATACTATTATAGTAATAATTATGTGTGCATAGTACGCAGAAATGAACGAAATGTCTGAGACAATGGGAGCTTTAACCATGCTCGCAAGAAGAAATAAGAATTAAATTTAACATTTATGAAACTTTGTAACCTCATTTTACAAAATACACCCTCGCATCATCCGATAATTATTTGATGAGCGTATTTCAACAAAGTCACCTTTTCTTCTTTCTGTTTTTACAAAATATTCTGAATTATCATTTTTTTTTTTTTCTTTTTTTGGTAAATTCCTCTCTGAAACATTTCTTTCTCTCCGTCATTTCAAAAATAAATAAACAAATAATAAATCTCTCTCCAAAGAAAATTTCTTTCTTCCACTTCGAAATATTCTGCAGTATATAGTTATCACGATTTTCTTTCTAACAAAATCCCCCTCCGGAAACACGAACGTCAACAACATCGATCTCGTTAGAGGTACACGTGCTATCGAGTAATAACCTAAATTCACGAAACGAGACGAAACGATCGACCACTGCTGTTGCTGTCGCGCGCAACGACCGAGACCCTATCGACGACCATCGGGCAGTCTCCAACATGTAATTCGCCGCAACAATCGGTCGTGGGGATGTTACCGTTTCACAGAAGCGTCACGAAACAATTTTCACGGAACGCATAAACGTCGCCGCGACCTATAAAGGATATGCCCGGATAATGTCAGTGACCGAAACTGTTCATCCCGGCTGCCATTATCGGCGGAACCGCAATAAAATATGTTATCGTGACACTGCTTCATCGATAAAACCATAAACCGCATACACGAGTGTACAACATCGTGTACACAGCCAGGACAGCGTTTTGTATATACATATATATATATATATATANTGTGTGTGTGTGTGTGTGTGTGTGTGTGTGTGTGTGTGTGTGTGTGTGTGTGTGTGTGTGTGTGTGTGTGTGTGTGTGTGTATATATAGAGTGTGGAATCATTATAGGTTACGTTTCAAACATCTGCTCCTCAATAAAACTCCAGTCGTGAAGCCGGTCCGGGTAGTGTCGTTCGAACAGCCGCGCCTCGATTCTTCTCTCGGCTCTTTCTCCTTCGCCCTCTCCCCCTTCTTCCCTTCTTCGCTCGCCCCTTCCTCGTCTCATACTCTTTCACCGTCTTTCTCGTTCTATCTTCGCCAAGCATACGTACACACATGCACACTATCTATCCTGCTCTCTTTCTCTTTATATTCTTTCTTTTCTCTCTCGTTTGTTACGTCTTTCCTCCTCTCGTCGCAGCTCTCTCTCTCTCTCTCTCTCTCTCTCTCTCTCTCTCTCTCTCTGTCTGTCTCTCTGTCTCTCTTTTTCACTCTCTCGGTTGTACAGAGCGAAGCAAGTAGGACTGCGAGGATTCTCGGGACACCCTGTATTTAGCATATTTCGATTTGCCCGAGATACACTGAGCCGTCCACCTCGTCGACGTCCGGTGCCACGTGTGGCATGCTGCCTTTCAGACACGAACGAGCGGATCGAGCCACATTCCGCGGTGGAGCCGGCCAAGGATGAAAGAAGAAGAAGGAGCCGGGGGGATGTAATGCACTCTCCTCCGCGGTGAAGAGGCCCAGCCCGAGACCCTCTCTTGGCCGACTTGGTCTCTCCTTTCTGCTTTCCTTTCTGCTGCCTTCTCTCGGCCACCAAGAGAAGAAGAAGGAGGAGGAGGAGAAGAAGAAGAAGAAGAAGAAGAAGAAGAAGAAAGAGAGGAAGAAAAAGAGGAAGAGCAATAGGAAGAAGGAGAATAGACGGGTAAAACGTCCGAGGAGGAAAGAGAAATAAAAGAAACAAGAGGTAGAAGAAGTAGAAGAAGAACAAGGCGAAGGACGAAGTAGGGAAGAAAGATGAAGGAAGAGAAGAGGAAGGTTAGGGCAGACGGGAGAAGAAGGTTGGGGGTGGCGACCTAAGAAGGTCAGAACATCGTATTTCTTGCGGCCGGTCAGCAAGAGAGAGTCAGCAGCGTCATTAAAAAGAAAAGTTCGGTGCCGGGCATTGTGAGGCCGCCCCGAAGAAACCCACGAAAAATATGCATCGAATTACCGTCGTTCGACGTAATCACCTTTCGACTATCTATGGATAAAAAGTCATTTCCTCGCCTGATATTGTCGACACTGACGACTCGTGAAATTAACTCGACAAACGAAAGAAACGACGTGCCGATCGTTTGGCACAACGTTTCCTTCTTCTCGATCTTCGATCGATTGTTAACGATTGTAATCGTGCAGAAGGTTCAAGAAATTGACGCGACTCGACGTTGAATGCTTGACCTACTACTCGTTCGATCGAAACACGTCTAGAACGTTTGAACAGCGTTTAACCCTTCGTGTGCACCCCTCACAAAAATAATCTTCCTCCCTCCAGCAAACATGGTAACCCGTAAGAATGGACAGATAATAATATTATCCCACTTCGCTGTCTCCTTTCCCCTTTCTTCCCAAAGGAACGGCGACTGTCTAGCATTTTGGATCCCCGGAATTCGCACCGGAATCGTTGAGCCACGAGCTAGATGGACGTATCGCGGCGTTCGCCGTTTCGGGGGGCCGAGAAAGTCGTAAGTCAGCTCCGGAGTTCTTTCGTTGTGCGATCTCTCGCTCCGTAGCCGAGGGCACCTGTGTTACCCGAGGTATAACCCGACCATTACCGGGGAATGTTGCCCAAGGGCTAACCCTGGCCCTCGTGTAACCAACCATCGGGGCCCATGGGGTCCACCTTATCCCGCTAGAGATTCCCTCCAGTCACGGAGGGACCAAGCAAGATCTTG